ATTTTATTTTTTTATTATTATTTAAGGTACTTTTACATTTCAGCAATACGCAGTGGCATCCTTTCTGACCTATTCTATTTTTTAATTTCATTGCGCTGCAAAATATTTCAATTAATTTTAATTTTCCATAACCCCTTTGTTCAACTAAGCATTTAATGATATTTCACACACATATACATACATACAAGTAAACTCATAATTTACATATATTTTTGCCTTTTAACAAACGCACTCATTTACATTTCCGTTACTTTTCTCTTGCTCTTCACAGATGAGTGGCTGCAAAGACGGCTATGAGTAGTGAGACCATTGCAGTAGAAACATAGTAGCGATGGCTACATGAAAAAACAAACAAGAAGAAGCAGCAAACAAAGAATTTGAAGTATCTAGAACGCTGGCAGCGCACTTGAAGCTTCAAAAATTGCAAAAAAAAAAAAAAAAAAAGAATCCCAGAAAGCTTAGCAAATAAGCCGCGCTTAGCAGCCGCGCCTTCAATATGTTGGTATTTCTTGTCGTTTTTGGTGCTTTTTGACATTTACGGTACTATGCGTAAGTGATAAGCAGTTATGTATGCATGTGTGTATATAGGGTTTGTGTGAGCCATCAATGTAAATATGTATGTATGTATGTACTAAGGTGATACTGTGAGTAGTTTATGTGTTTGACAAAAAAATATATATTTATGAAAAAATAGAGAAATATCCTACATATGGTAAACATATAGGGGGTGCTAAGCAACTAAAGAAAGTTTAAATCGCTTAGTAATGATCTCAGCACAGAGCTTGGACAGCTGCTTCAAAAATGAAATGAACCACGGAAATTGCTTTGCTGGACCATGCGAAGACTTAGCACAGTAGTTATGTGTGTTGCTGTTTGTGTTGTCGAACAAAAGATGACTGATGCGGAAATGGCCAATAAGAAAAATCATAAAACTCAGTTTTACTGCGCTGGTATTTGAAAAGAAAAACATTAAGAAATAATAATATTTTTTTTGTTTAAACAAGCCGCGCACAAACAAAAGCGAAAGCTAAGCAGGAACAAAGTGAAAAAATGTGCATCTGCAAAATGGGAAATTAACGCTGCCAATGAAAATATGTTTCAGGCGATTATTGTTGCTGCAAAGAAATATAGTTTAATACATACTTACACATACAAATATGTACATGTGTATATATAGCACATTCATGTTGCATATAAGGATCTATGGCAATATCTGATCCATATTCAATCATATTGCAAAAATGGCAAAATTGTTAAAGAAGTGAATGACTAAAAGTGTTGCTCAGTCTGTAGTTTCGACAGTCATAAACAACGATAGCAACAACAACAATATTGGCGTCAGGTGCGCTGTCGTTCGGTCCGTTCACTCGCCTATCCTCATTCATTCATTTTTCCATTTCATTTTCATTTTGATATGCTGTGCGAGCGAACTCTTTAACAATTGTAGTTTTATTGACGATTTTTAATGGCCGCATTTTTCTGTTCGTTTGTGTTTTTTATTTCATGTTTTTTAACGTTTTATTGCGCGTGTTCTGTTATCCAAAAACATAGATGCTATATATATGTACATATTTATGTATATATGTATATTGCCTGCTGCAATTAATAGTTCATTTCATTTTTGAAGCATTGATCTTCGAAACACGTTTCTGTTATTTTGTTTTTGTTTTCAATATATGTATGTATACAAAAGTGTAAATGAAAGAAAAATAATTGAAAGCATGAAAATAATTTTCAAATACTTAAAAACTGTACTGCAAGAAAATAGAATCAAAACTATCAGAAAACAGATGTACAATCTATTAGATATCTTACCAGATCTATTACAATACCAAACGCACCGATAACGGTAACAAACAAAAAAAAAAAAAACAGAAGCAATGGTGGCGGTGGCACGGTGAAAAAGCCAATTATTTATTGCAAAAAAGACTGACTTCATTTTAAACTAAACTAATTAACTATTTCAATGTATATAATAATGTTATAATGTTATAAAATAATTTAAAAATATCAATAAAAACAAA